CAGAGACAGTGCGATTGGCACAGGACAGAGCGGAGTTTAGGGCTGTTGTACATAGGGTCGCTATGAGTCGCAAGCGACTCGACGGTACATAACAATAACAACAACAACAGCAATGACACTTTCTAAAAATCAAACCCCTATGTACATCAAAAAACTTATCCTACACGGTAAAAAGGAAAGCCACAAAAATATTTGGCAATGATATATCTGATAATGGATAGTTGAAAAAAATAACCTGACTCATCAAAAAATGAACAGAAAGAAAAACTGTTGTATATTAACACAATTGAATACTGCACAGTACTGAGAAAAAAGAAACTCATAAAATATTATACAACATGGGTAACCCTGGAGTTAGGCTGAGTGAAATATCTCTGTCACAGAAGGACAAATATTTGCGTAATGCGATTGTTACTTGTAGATAGGGTGGAAACTAAGAAAAGAGGGAATAAATAATGAACAGTGCATTGGAACAAATGAAGAACTGTTTAAAAGGAATATACAATTAGGCATTATTTGTATGACAACAGTTCAAATAAGAGGTTCATAGCAAAGGGGACTGGGGGAGGGAGAGAAGGGAAGAAATTATGCAACAATGAAAGAATTTTTTTTCAAGTGAACTGAAGAGGTGTAGGGAGGAAAATGTGCAAGAATAAATGAATGAAAATCTAATTTTTCTGTAAACCTTTGTTAAACTAATAATTTAAAAATAAAACAAAAAATAACCTAAGTATATTACAAAAAACCCCTCTTCAAATCTTGAAGTACACCAAAATTGTATATTCTGTTTGTTTCCAAATGGTAAGATGGAAGGTGGTTTTCTTTTTCTACTTTAGTGTCTTGTTTATATTTTTTAATTAAAAATATATTTACCCTTTTAATAAAAAATTTTTTTCTAAGGAAAATTTGTAAATAAAGCTTTTATTTTTGGGGTTTGTTAAAAGCATCGTTGTTAAGAAGCAAATTAGCAGATTACCAAATTATGTCCATTTGTTTAACTTTTTTAAAATTTTATTTTTTTAGGCCAGAAATATACATACAGGAGAATTGGCTGCTGTAAAAATTATCAAATTGGAGCCTGGTAAGTATTAAATTGTCAAGACGATTTTTTAGTACTTGTATATCTCTTAAGTACAGAACTTAAAATTATTTTATAGATTAGTTCTTATTTGTTTCTTTCCTTTGGAAAAGAAGTTATTTTAGATACTGTTTGAGCAGTAGAATACCTCCAGAATGTCTTATATCCTTTGGAAGTTGTTAAAAGCTAATATGATGAGATAACTTTATTGTTAAATAAAAATTGAAATATGTAAATTTAAAATGGGTTTTCATAGGCCTGCCATTTCAGAAGTGGATGGCCAATCCAAGATTCTACTGAAGATTATCCAAAAACGACTGGAACAGTACATCAGCAGAGAACTGCCAGAAGTCCAGGCTGGGTTTAGAAGGGGTTGTGGTACTAG